CCATAGTTTTGGGGTGATTGCTTGTGCCAGCTTCTACTGCTGCTCAAAACTCCGCCCAATTGTCAGAGCAAAGTTGACATCCAATTTGTCAATTTTTATGCTGTCCATAGTCTTCTGAGCAGCAGCAGGGAAAACTCTTGAGACTTCTTAGTTTTCATTATATTGTATCGTGGTAAAGCTGAGTAGCAACAGAGCAATCTCTGTGCAGCTGCCGAAGGACAAGACTGAATAATTTATTTTATTCATATTTGGAATGATATCTTCACAACAGTACAGGTTAGAAACGTTTTTATTTACCATGGGCTCAGTCCCTGATAATGAAGGAGATTGGTAGAAGGGGATTAGATGTTGGGAAGCTTGAGTGCTATTCCTACTGTGCCACTGATTTGTTAGGACATTTTTCACTTAAACCAGTGGTTCGCAACTGGGGGTCCATGAGCAGGTTTCAGGATTTCTGCCTAGACTGACATGGGGAGGAGTTGTCTTGGCACCCCAGGGCTGAGGCAAGTCCTGAGGAAGGGGCAGGAGTAGGCCTACAGCCTCCATCTTGCAGATGGTGCTGTGGACAGATGGGCGAGGCTGCACGTTGCTGCTGGTCACGTGAGTCGGCCCCCAGGGCTTCCCACTGCACCCAGGGCCATTTGGGCAGGGCTGGGGACCTGGGCCGCTCCTCAGAAAGAAAAAGGTTGAAAACCCCTGACTTTTGCATCTGTTTATTTGTTTTTTGCCTATAGAACTTCAAGCTTTTTTAAACTTAGGTTAGGAAACCTAGTGAGAAGAATAAACTTCTAAGCTTAAATCAAATCGTACCAAGATAAAACTAGGGGGGCACTGATAAATATTTTCCTGGCCAATACTGATAGCTGATGATTAACCAACCATATTGGCTGATGCCCATTCGATAACCAATATTTAGTAGTAGTGCAAGGCATTTTAAACTACTGACATAAATCTTCTTGTTTTGCATTTGTAATGCACATGCATACACGATAGATTTTTTGTGTTCCTGCTTCTAGAAACATTTTGTAGCAAAAAAATACCACATATTATTTTTAAAACTTTTACTTTTAAAATGGTGGTTTGCAGTATAAACTTTATACTTAGCTAGTTACTTTGGTGCAGCTTTTTCCTGCCCTGCTTCTTTCTTTTCTGTAGCCATGTTTAGGAAACCATTGTTTTCAATAGCGTGATGTGTCTTGAGATGCTGTGTTAAGTTCGTTGTGTTGAAATTTTTACTGGCGTTGTTTCCCTGTGAAATATTTCAGCGTATACTTTGCAATCAGCTGTTCAGTTGTTCTTTTCAGATGCTTAAAAAAAAAAATTCCATATTGCACTTCTTTGAGATGTATTTAGAGCTGATCGAGATTGCATGGTGCACAACAGCAACTATATTCTTGTCTCATGGTTTACACGTCACAGCCTTCCATGCACCAAAAGGCATAATTATTGGTAAACGTTGGCTGCAATGACCAAAAAAGCCGATATATAATAACATAATTTTCCTTTTATCAGTACCAATTCGATAGCCAACTGATATATTGGTGAACTCCTAAGTAAAACAAATCTTAGTTTTAAATTGATGGGGAAATGCATTGATTTTGTTTATTGTTTTTCAGCTTGAGGGCCAAGTTCGTTGTTTTCCCACTGCTACATCTGCCTTGTCATAATTGTTAATCAAGAACATACTTTTTCCTTTATGCTGGTTTTTTTAATGCACCTATTGGGCACATCCAGGTGTGTGTGTGTGTGTGTGTGTGTGTGTGTGTGTGTGTGTGTGTGTGCACATGCAGGTCGTGCATTAGCTGCAGCAAAAATAGCAGTGGCACAAATTTGTGCCACTACTTTTTGCTGCTGCACATACCCCTGTGCATGGAGTTTGGTGCAGGGCAAAATGCCCTGCTTTGGGAAAAAGGTTGTTTCCCTACTTTCCTGTCTCCTGGCATGCTGGAAGATATGAGGAACACCTAGAGAAGGGGAGATGCTCTGACTAGCAGCCAAAGTATCTCCCTGGGGGACCCAGCATCCCTGTCTGCCAGAGTATGCTCCTGGAGCATGTGTTTCACCGCTTTATTTTGTAGAGGGTTTTTTGTTTTAACCAAGGATCTCCCTGTGTTGAGTTTTGGTGCCTCACTGCAAATTTGCAGTGTAGCTAACGGTTGCACATGTGTTGCATACGGTTTGAAGCATCACAAACTGCACATGCATGCTTGTCTGGATGCACCCATTGTGGTTATTCACATAGATCAGGGTCAGCAGCCTGCAGCCCAAATCTGGTCTGTAGAGCTGAGGGCCTTTGGCAAGAGGTGGGGAATGGGAAACTTTATCTGCTGTGGCCAAGCAGTGGGGCTAAGTGGAGGCGGTAGGTCATAGCCCAGGCTTGCATCAGACCCGAGTTGGGTCATCCCAGCCTACCGCTTGAACAAGTTGCTGACTGTTGATGTGGGCAGTGGCTGAAAACCTAAATATATGTATCCTGAAGTCATTTTTCAAAGAGAATAAATGAAGTAATGGTTTCATTTTCCTGTATACCCTGAAAGTAGTTACGATTTGTACAAAATTCAAACATGCATTGCTGAGTTAGGGCAGGCTGCATTTTGTTAGTGTTAAGCAACAGAAGAATGCATGCTTTTGCCTCTGGAGATGTGTGCGTCTTGTTGGGAAGATTAAGATATTTTTGTAGAATCTTTAAAAAGACAGTATTCTGGAAACTCTTTCTATTGTAATATTTCATGTACCATTAAATATAAATGCTAATGGTAAAGATGAATGGATAGTATTTCTTTTCAGTATTTAACTACTATCTTTTTTCAGCTTTTGAAATGCGAGTGTACATAAATTGCCCTTGGGTAGCAAGTGAAATTAGTTAAAATGAGCAATCATATGGGAAGTAAGAGGATAGTAAAACATTCACTCAAAATACCACTGATTGACAAACAAGATTTAACTTGATTCTTTACAAAGGTAAGGGATAACGTGTTGAGAGCTGTTACTTGTCATAAAAATGTACTTTTCATTATTTAAAAAAAAAAAAAAAAAAAGTGATTCCTGATTGGTGATGTAGTTGCAGTCCCATAGCTCAGTGTCACACTTGGTTTTCTTAACACTGAGAAAGTAAATAAATTGTTGACATCCTTTCCCCACGTGTTTCTTCCCATTTTTTCTTCCTCAAATGTATTATACTGTAGTGACAAATGAGAGTATTTATGGACATTTTTGTTGGACAAAAGCTTCTTAAGAAATAAAAAAAAATCTCAGCTTAATTTTTTTTTTGAGCACTACACTGCAAAAAAAGCAAGTCTGTTTTCTTTTTCTTTATATGCTCATCGCTATGCTATTTAGTAATGTGTGGAATTCATCAATTTGGATAGTTCACTTTGAAGTTGCTATACATGTGGATTTTAACACTTGATACCCTATGATGGAGGTCTTATCAGAGTGTGAAAAGTCTGTTACAGGCCTCATTGTAGTTTAAAAGTTCATGCCAACTTATTTAAGTTCAAGCAAGTAGGGTATCACCAGCAAGGTATTTTATTTGTAAATAAAGCAGCAGATTTTAGGTTCTTAAAGAGCAGATGTCCTCAACTGCTCAAATCCCTTCCCACAATCCTGGAGTTGGGCAGGATAGGATAAAGGGCAGAGGACAGTTTTGCCCTAGGCACAAATTAGAACAGCCATAGGGCTGCTCTAAATTGCATATGTTTATAAAGGCCTGAGACTTTATATTGGTTTAAAGCATTGAGTTTATTTGAAGGGTGCCACGGGGCTAGCAGTGTTCGGGTGTGCAAACATGATTCACAAGAGAATTCAAATAGTAATCTGTAGTGTTAAAAATATTTGACCTGTTGTGGTATTTCTTATGTCCTTGTAACAGCAGATTTGCTCTACTATTTCTTTTAAAAGTTTACAAAAAAAAAAAAGAGTGAAAACAAGTGCTGACATTTTTCTGAGGGGGATCATGAGCCTGTTGCTGGGTACTTTGAGACAAAAAAGTTGAGAACCAGTGGTCTAAAGTCTTCAGAACATAACAGCTTGGCCCAGAGTGGGCTGGAGCTGGCAGTTAGATATACTGCTTGTAGATGGCACATTCCCACGCGCAACTTACTAATGGCATGTTTGGTGGGCCTGATAAAATATATTTGCCCATGGACTGTAAGTAGCACCCCCTGCTCTAGGTAAAGGCAATTTCCAGCCGGATGTTTTCTATCCTGACACTCTGGGGCAAAGATTATGGGCTTATGTTATTGTTTGCTGTTCCTAATGATCTTTTTACGCGACACTACACTGTAATGAAAACAAAATATATTCTTACTTTGGGGACAAAGCACAACCACTTGCAGTTGTGTTTCAAACTTTATTAATGTCTTTTAAAATACTTTATGAACCAATACTTCTTGTAATGATTGCATAACAATTTAAAATTAAATCTGCAGGCTAATATCCATTTAAGTTGGGAAATGCTGATTCTGTTTTTAATTACAGTAGTGTCTCATTTTATCTTGTGGGAAACTGTCTCTTGTCTGTCTTGCCTTGTTTAGTAAATTTACTAAACAAGACAGACAAAGTTTAATTGGAAATGACTTGGTTATTTGTCTAAGTATTAATATAACTATTTGGCATATGGTTGTAAATTCTGTAAATCAAAAGTATATTGGCATTGGCATTCTAGGAATTGTCAATTGCAGGCAAACATATGCATGGATATTGCTCTGGGCAGAAGTGCATATATTTGTCCTTTGAAAAATATGAACTTTGATTTCTACCCAGGATAACTTTTATGATCTTTTCTCCAATGCCTGATGAAGGGTGCTTGCCCAAAAGCTTGCAATTTAAAGAATTTTTTTTGCAAAAATCTTGTTGGTCTAATAAAAGAGATCATCTTTACTACAGGTCCTGATTATATATTTCCTATGTGTTTAAAGATCTGGGGTTGGGCACAAATACTTCCATGGATTGTGCTACAGCTTTGAATTTGTTCTGATTTAAGTAATTTTATTCCTCAGTTTTGGCAAGCGTTCTGCAGGGAGCTTGAGGCGTGGCTGTGAGTGCATTGTTTTAGAGCCATCTGAAATGATTGTGGTAAGGATATTTGTATTAACTTCATTTAAACTTTTTCCCCTCCTCAAGTTGTAATGTATTGCAGTAAACAGTATTTAATACTATTTTGAATTCCTGTAAATTATCTCTATTAAGATCCAGTATAAGTAATACTGAACTAAGTGTGCATGAGAGATGGTTGTTGTTTTTCTTTGCTTTCTTTTTTTTTCTTTTGTCTAAATTAAGAAGTAGGTTAAAGACAGAAATTGCACATAAACCAGTATAAGTGATGGGAAGCCAGTTCAAATCTGTAACACAACAGAAGTTAGCGCACATAAGCTGCTTTCAAAATGGCCAAAACCAGTTTAAGGTAAACCTGGATGGATGTAATATCAGACTTCACTGATTTAGGTTAAATCAGTGTGCTGAACTTCTGTGCCAGATTCCCTCCAGATTCAAGTTAACTTGCAGTCTCCCTACATCCCAGGATGCTTTGTACCTCCCCCCACAAACCCCTCCCTCAGCTGGTGTTTGGCCCAAGTTGTCTGCTCCAGCTGAGCAGGAAGGCATGCTCTAGCACCCCCACCTTTTGACCTGGGCCATTGTAAGCATGTGGCTGCATTTTCGGAATCAAAAGTGATTGTCTGTTCACTAACTTATTGGTTCAATCTACACAGTTTAGACTAACCTGTGATGATTGAATCGATCGAGACCTGGGTTTTTTGAATATCCATACTTAGCCATAGTATATGGAGTTTGCAAACAGGTGCAAAAGTTGGCAGTATCATTTGACAAAATGAATGATCAAGTGGTATTTGAGACCTTTTTATGAATTGTAAGACTTGTTTAAAAATTGACAGCGGGGCTGGATAATCAGTAGAATAGCTTTAGGTAGAAGTGTGATGATTGTCAGGGATTTATATTATTAAATATTTCTGCTTTAACTAATCTCAGATTGTTGCTTTTAACAGTTGATTATCAGCAGCTGAAAACTGTTTATTATAGCTATGTAAGGTTATGTATGTTATTTAAGGATATTTGTACCACTGACAGTAAATTTGTCAAGTTTTTTTTTTCCAAGTGTATTTTCATTTTTAATAACAGCCGTGCTTCGCTAGCAGAACAGCATCACCCCCTAGAGGGTTCTCAGATTCAATTCTTTATCAGTTTTTTAGGGTGCAAAATCCAAAGAAGATGCATCCTCAGTACAGGAGAAATTTAAATTGTTTCTCTCTGTCCCTGAAAGTGATAGTGATAGCATGATGGTTAACCTCTTCATTAAATAGAAGATGCCCAATGTAAGCTTTTTTGAAGGGCTGACTGTGGTTTGACTGGGAAGAGAGCTCAAACAGAGGGCAGCTTGCAGAGCAACCACCAGCTTGTCACCACACATTTGTTTCACATCAGAACTGGACTTTAGTGACATATGTTTATGTTCAAGTGAATTTTAAATGTTTGGATGGGGTAACCCTAGTTTTACTAAAACTTTTTATTGTATTATATCATCAGTATAGAGAGGAGAGGAAAAACACATAACAGGAAAATCATTTGTTTAGTAATGATTTGTGTTGTTATTCTCTTTGTTTCCCTGTTTCCGTTTTGGGGTAACTGTTTAGGCCTTTGTGTGGGAAGTGATAACTGTTAGTGGAATTAATTTTAATACAGAATTATTTTGGACATTTTCCTCTTATAGTCATGGGTTCATCCCAGCATGACATAATCAAATACATTAGCCAGATGGGCACAAAGGAGAGACCTGCTCTCAGGCAAATTACTGTACTCATCTTCCAGGAAAGTCATCAATATGAATTCTAACACTTTCAGTGCCATGCACTATTATATAACAACTTGTGGTGGTGACTTTAAGGCTTCTGGAACAGAGAAGGATTAAATTAGATAAGTTGAACAGGAAATTCCTTATTCAGATACTTGCTTGTAACTTTCTCCCCCCCCCCCCCCC